CTAAGCACATATTAATTACAGTGTGTGTAAGGTAAAAAAGGCAAAACCGAAAAAAATCTCATTAAAAAAATAGATCTTAAAAAAAAAAAAAATTAGTTTGATCATCTATCCTGCAGGCTTCAGCTAGGGGAAACTGCACTGATTTCTAGTTAGGAATACAAGCAGTAAATATGCCATGGTGTATATGATTTAAATTGAATAACAAATATGCATAGCATAAGCACTTCTGCTCAGACACTGTGACCTGTACAGGAGTGACAGGATGACAGAAAGAATAAAAATGATTAAGGATCTCTGGACTAATGGCCTAGGGAAATACTTGCCAAATACCAGCTTGTCACCTAGAAAACAAAGCAAACAGTATCTGTATCTGCATACACAGGCAGCTACTTTTAAGCCAAGAACAGCACTTAGGACATCAGCAACATACCTGGCCTTTAGCTATGAGGTAAGCTATAACAGGCATGTGCTGAAACAGCACTGCTAAATGAATGCTACTGAATCCTTCCCCATCGATAAGGCTGGCATCTGCACCACACTTCAACAATAAAATCACCATGGGCAGGTGTCCTTGCCTGTAAAGATACATGAAATGAGACTGTGGAGATGACCAAAAGATACACTTTAAATATATATACACACTATATTTTAAAAAGCTGTCCAAATGTTTTATTTTTATCCATAAAATTACTTTCATAAAAGTAAGGGCTTACCCTTGGTCACATACATCCATAATATAATTCAAGCAAAGGTAGTAATTTAGAATATAGTGAACAGTGTCAATAATTTCACCTGTAAGCATTCTTTCTTAGATCTACCTTTGTTATGCAGTAGACTAAGGCAGCCCAGAGAAACCTTTGCTCTTCCAAAGCGATAATTTTCACTCAAAAAAATTAAAGAATCATTTATTTCCAGCTAATATTTTTCCAAATAAACACTAGTTTGCTCTTCTGATCACTTCGCTCAAGTTGTGTCCTAGAAGCCAGAACTATAGTGTTTTAAATGATATCATGTTGAACAGATTGTCTCTCTTCATCTGCCCTTCTACATTTATGTGTGTAGACTGCCAACACGCCCAAGTCCCAGCAGCTACTATTGCTCAGAAAGAGATGCTATCTATTGGCAGTGCCTGCTATACATATTCCAAAAAGAAAAGCTAACATGACTGGAGCAGAAGGCCAAAAACATCTTTATGTTGTTGAGCGACGAAATATCTTACATTGGTTCTGCTACCAAATTTAAACCTGACAACTGCAAGCAGCATACCTAATGGCCCAGTGAAGTGGAGTTGAATTCAGATCTCCACCCAGCTGATCCACCACTGCACCTTTGGAAATATAAAACCTGCAAGAGCAACGCAACGAGATTTATTAATAAGAGTCGTAATAAAACATTATACTAAGGGTAACACTGCTCCAGAAGTAAGTAGGTTGTAATCCAGAAACTTTCACTACAGAAGCAAACCTACAAGAATACTCTGCAGTAAACGATGGTGCTCTGAAAAAAAATGTTTAACTAACAAAACAAAAAGCAGTAATTAGCAAGGCACCTCTCACATCAGCTTGAATCTCTGTTAAACAAAACAAAGCAAAACAAAAGAAAGCCCAATTAATTTTTGCACTACACAGCTCCACACACAAAGAAAATGAATAGTGGTAACTTCACATTTCAGTGACATCTTCACAAAGGCAATGGGGCTACAACTTGAATGTTATCTTTTTCTTCTGAAGCAGTGTATTGCATTTGTTTTAAAAAGCAATTAAAAACGGGGACTGTAATTAAGAGAAGCAGAATACCTGTGCTATTTTTGCTAAACATACAATTGTTCACAAGGACTCAGCACTTGCCTAGCCAGCTCCTGCCTGTTGTTTATTGCTGCCCAGTGAAGGAGAGTCACATTCTCTCTGTCTGGTTGCCGAACATCATATCCCGCTTCCACCAGCTCTTTGCATCGCTCCAGTAATCCATACCTAAAATGAAAACAGAAAAATAACGTTGATTTACCTATAACTCAGTTGTTTAAAATAAATTATATAGATATATGTATCTATATATATAGATATTTGACATTCTTAAGGACACCTCAGCAAGCCTCACCCAGCAGCTCCTGGAGCAAAATTCCACATTGCCTTCAATGGGTCTCACAGAAAGGTATGAGCTAGCCCTGATACATAAAACATTTTTATTCCGTATGACAAATTTGTTTGATTAAGATACCGGACTGCATCTTGTTCAGTATTAAAAACACTTCCAGGAGCATCCTACTTCCAGAAGTTTTTCAACTTCTACTAGAGCGAGAACGTGGAACGCTGTATTTTTTCTTCACAGAAGCATCAGAAACGGCTTATGCCGCAGAAAGCGGCCACGCGTTCCCACACGTTGCCCCCAGGACACACTCACTGCGTAGCCG